CTCTTTCCTTTGCTGCCTCTCTCTTCTTGGGGCTCTGCTCTCTCTCTCTCTCTCTCTCTCTCTCTCTCTCAGGTAATATTTTACATACATGCTGGGTAGAATTAATTGTTCATGTTTTACCATCCTTCATCTATTTTGTAACCAATTCAGTGTAACCATAACAAAATATTGTTATTAAACCATTTCAATTATTAATTATGTGCTAACTAGTCTTGATTCAACATTAATATTGAAGTGCTACCTATTGCAGTACAATATAGTCACTTAATAGCAATGGTCTCCCACATATTTAGCTATTCTAACTGCGCTTATTTCCGTCGTTGGTATAAGTGGCAGTGGGTGGTAATAGACTAGAAATGTAATGTTTTATACCATCGTGCTGACAACGTTTCTTTAGTCATTCGGCAATCCTACAGCCTGAACCACTGTAGGAAAACCACCCTTACAATTATATATTTAGATGTATAATTATCATTTGAAGAGTGATGTCACTGATCCAACAAAAATGGAGGTAGAGTAGGGTTAAACAACATCAGACCTGTTCACACACTCCTCAGCCTCATGAGGTTTCTGGAGTCGATGATAGACCACCGCCGCTACAGCCAGCGGCCCTGCATCCCCACACAGGAAGGTCACCCAGCGCTGAGTTAAACTCCTCAGACTGTAGCTGACATAGTCCAGAGCCTTCAGGAGAAGAGAGGAGTCTCCAAACACACTGTGGAGATGCAGGTAAAGCAGGGCAATGCCTGCAGTAGGGGGAGAAGGAACTTAGCAATGCGGCCCAAGTAGCTTTATGATAGAAAACCATGAACATGAGAAGTTAATGAATATTAAAAAAATAATCTAAATGTAATAATAATCATATTTCAACATACTGCACAAAATGATACTGTGCATCCACTCAAAAATTTAAATTCAGTCATCATTAACTCTCTCTCAAGCCATTCTAAACCTGTATGACTTTCTTTCTTTTGCTAAACACAAAAGAAGATACTTGGTAACTAAACAGTTTTTGGTTCCCATTAACTTCCATTTTATGGACAAAAAATACAAGTCACTGGGAACTGATACTATTTGGTTATCAACATTCTTCAAAATATCTTCTTTTGTGTTCAGCAGAAGAAAAAAAATGCATACAGGTTTGAAACGAAATGATAACAGAATTTTCATTTTTGGGTGAACTATCCTTAGCGAACCCATATAAAGAGGCTGATTTTAATGATGCTTTGCCATGTAGTTTCACTGAATATGTAATAACAATTTAGTTTTAATACATCTGTAAGTGTGATCTCACCTGCCCAGCCAGTGTAGCCAGTACAGTCTCTGGGGTCAGCGTTCTTCAGTCCGTTCTCCATAACCGCTAGAAGCTCACTGATCTTACTGCTTATACGGCTGGCAAAATGCTGGGTCAACTGCACAGTGCAAAAAATATGATTTGTAAACGAGACATAATAATGAATACAGGCATAGAAAGAGGGTATGCAGTGTATAAAAGTAATTCAGTGAAGGTAACGAATGCTTATTATATTCAAATACTATGGTACTCCAATAATTTCTAATCTTATTAGGGGTGCTCCGATTGATCGGCTACCGATCACTATCGGCCGATAATCACGTTGGGATGATTGATCGGCTGTCTCTAAAAGGCCGATCTCAAAAAAACGATCTCAAGCCGTGAGAGGTTTGGCACGACATGCAGCGTGAGGTACTCACCTTCATATTTTTTCATTAAATTAACTTATAAAGTAATTTGAAAACCTTGTGTAATTTCGAGACGTAATTTCACAAACAGCATGAGTGAATCACCGCGCTCGCTCTCTTTCTCTCTCAAAATATGCAAATGGTTTCAAATCACCACACATCGCGTCTGTCTATAAGCGAGCTGCAGGCTGCACAGTTGACACAGGAATTGTCACTTGCACAGTCGAGGCAGTTTCACATCGTCACTAATGTTTATAAATTGCATTTCTTTTTAATTATTGCCAGTGTTTAACAATTCAGCGCTCGCGCGCTCTCCTGGAGACTGTACGCTCATGCACACTCACAGCGCGCACACATAACGCTAGATACACATTACTCCGTTTGCAGTGCATACGTGGTGCGTATTTTTTCCGCGCTTATGTAACGGATTAAAGTGTTCACTGCACACGGTTGCTGTCCGGCAGTGCGTTCAGGAGCGGTGCGTCTGCAGCAGTGCAGCGATCGTTTCCGCACCGAGTCTATTGCTGCGCTGCGCTGAATTAAAGTAACAGCGCATTGTTTGCAGTAAATATAGGAACATGGATTGACACGAAAATGTAGTAATTACACCATAAATGCATATTATT